AATTTCCCCAAATAATCAATTGAAAGGGGCGTTAATAGCAGCTGTTTTCATTTAAAACCGCGATATGTATGACTGTTTCATTATTGATATGATATATTGAAAGCTGATCTGAATGAATGAATTATGACCGTACTGAATAACTAAATTTAATCGAGTTAAAATTCAACAACGATCAATTGGTGAAACATTTATGGAATTGATAAATGTTGATTAAAGTGTCCCTTGGCCATATTGAGGCCTGGAAATGAATTAAGAATGAGGACGCGAAACGCCCCAACTATTCCTAAGAATTTGTCTGAAATATGATTCTTTATAACTTCCCATTTCATTTTTCTGTAATGTGTCATAAAGTTCAGTTATACGCCGGGCCATATTACAATTTCTCAAGACTTTACGAGAAAACTTCTATTTTGTGTAGAGTGAACTTATAAATTCTGCTATTAAAAATTATTAAAATTTGCAAAATTCTTAAAGCAGATTGCGATTGTATGCTGCTACTAATATACCCAGATAATCTTATCTAGAATGAGCTGAGAGAAACGAGTTTTTATTTATATTCTGACCACTTTGGTCCCAAACCAGTGTTATTGATGGCGTTAAATGAATGCGATAGTTTTTAACTGCAAGGGCAAAAGTAACACGAATACAGACACAAGTTCAACCAAAAACATACAAATTGATTAATGTTCTCACTGACTTTGAAACAATGTTTCTTCTAAACTATCCTCAAACTAATTAGTATTAATAAATGACTCATAGAAAGCAAATCGCAGAGGACTGAGCTTTTTATAATCATGGGATTATTTAATCTATGGAAATATTTCGCCTTTCGCGGCTTTTGTTGAAACTGGTGATCTTTTCAGGATTTAGGCTGTCGTGAAAATATTTTCTTGCTGACGTTTTGCATGCCCGAGTGGCTTGCGAAAATCTTTTTTCTACGCCGACCTAAAATGCGAAAAGCTTAACAGCTTTATCCAAAATCAACTAAATTGTGAGAGAACCAGTCATTTTAAAAATTGATAGCATTTTTAGAAGGGGCGAAAGAGCTTCGCAAAAGAATAGAAGAAAACAAACGAGTTAAACCATTGAAAATGTGCGATACAACGACATCGTTTTATCAGCATCAAGCAGATCGAATTTAATACAGAATATTGAAAAGGCCAATGTTAACGTAACACTAAAAGTCCGAAGCAACATGGCTATCATGGGTAATTACATCAGCACTTTACCTAAATGTTAATTTAATTTACGGTTGCAGGACTTAATGAAAATTTTTAACCTCATTAGAGATAACTCGCAATTCTCGTAATAAAGGGCTCTTTGCTGACGAAGTAACTTTTACAAGGCACGGTTGGGTTAATTGTAAATAATAAGTCCATTTATTCGGTTGAAAATCCCAAATGGATGTGACAAGGTGATCAAAATTAATAAACACTTTCATCAGCGGAAAGTTGGAGAACTTGCCAAGCAATCTGAGTTTATTTCAAAACAGTATAAACGCCCAAAAACGTTTCATTTCAGTTAAACTAACTTTTCACAACTTCAAATCAATTCAACTATTTATAATCTATCTGAACATTACGCAATCGGGCCAATTTCTTAAGTCGTTGCAACAATGCTTTATCCGCAAAATGGGACTTGAGAAACTCACATTAATAACATTTAATACGAATCCAATCCGAGGATCAATTCAGTGGAGCTTCGCATGGAATCTGAAAACTTCTTAAAATGTGTACTCACTGTGTGAGACTTCGAAAGTTTGACTATATCCAGACAATCAGAGCTTACAGTTGGATAAGAACTTTTAGGCACTCGGCAGGTTTCATTGAGCTTTTAATTCGCCTGGCTGGAAATGCAAGTGTATTTTTTAAATCCCTTGGCAAAAAGAAAATAATTCAAACGGAAGATGAAAATGAAATAATAAAATTGTCTAAGTTTAACTCAATTCCAACAATTTTAGATCTCAATTTATGTAAAATACTTCCTGAATTTTAGTCAAATTTCAGTTACGTTACACAGATCTCTTTCATTTCGATCAAATTTTGCTGTTTCGTTCTAGCGAACCCTGGAGTCTAGTCAACAGTAAGTTAAATTACATATTTAGTATTTTCCTAATTAAGTCACATGCCAGAAACGTTGGAAAGGTATAAAGGTAAACAAAAATATTGTTGAAGCGAAAAGCAATTTTGTGAAACCTGAAGTTCACGTTCATTCACAGCTAATTACTAATATGAATTATATACAATAGCTGCAAGAATTTTATTTAATTGTCAGAAAGAGTTTCCTATTGTGGGTGAATTTTTCCACTTGAACATCGTAACAAAGCAGATCTAATTAGGAACGAAAAAATATTTAATTCTGACGAGCATTTCAAATGCACGGCATTATTTAGATTTAAACAGTGTGGCTTTTATAAAGAAAATATAAAAATGTGTTTACTTGCAAATTTTTTTTCACCATTATCATTTTTATGAATAATTTTTTATTTATTTGCGAGGTCTTGAAGGCCCCTTTTGCATCTCTTGCAATTGATGTTTTCCTTTTTATGTATTTGGGTTTTATTCCCGAAAAAATTTTATCCTTTTTGATGAGGTTTCTAGTTTTACTCACCATCTAAACTCGACTCTAAAAAATATCCGAACTATTTCAAGTATACTAAAATTTAATCCATGTTTCATTTAACATACGTTTATTTCTGTCACTTAGCGGCCTTTAGGTAGATCTAGAATTAAAATAAATCATAAAAACCCTGAAATTAATCTGTTTGTTATTATAAAATTTTAGCAAAATGTGAGTATTTCTTGGAGGAAACACGATTATTTCATGACAAAGTTTCCACTATCGTGAAGTTCCCATAAAAATCAACAACCTGAAAGAGAACAAAAATACTCCGATAACTTGTACTTTCCTTTAAGCAGAACTACCTCTATAAATTCTGCAGACGAAATTGCCAGCATTTTTATACCCATTTCGGCACCTTATTCCGATCCACTTAGTTTACTTTCTTCTCCTCTTTTATGATTGGTTATTTATTCGTTGTAACGTTTTATAAAGGTACATTGTGCCTTCAGAATACATTTGATAGAAGAAAGTTTAAAGTACCAAATATTGCGTCTAGCGTCTGGAACTTTATGAGTAAACTTTCGTATTGTAAAATATGAACATTCGAGTTGATGCTAATACGGTTTTGGTAAAGAAAGAACTGATTAAAATAATTAAATAGATTTAAATAGAAGTTTGAAAAAGATTTGAAAACTTCTTGAAATATATCGCGATTATTCCAAAAGTGCCGACAAACCCAGATAATAGAGTCTCCAGATAAATAAAACTGTCCATATTTTCGTTTGCAGAACCACCTCTATAAATTTGGTAGACGAAATTGCCTACATTTATATATCCATTCGCCACTTATTCCGAACAACTTAATTTATTTTCATCGTCTCTTTTATGGTCAGTTATTTGGATGTAAAAAGATATATTGAATACATGATGGTCTAGTTCGTGCATGCAGTAGTTGCAAGTAATGTCAGTGATAATATTTTATTATCTAAACGTTGCAGCAAAATATTTTTAAAAATTTATGTTTGCTTATGCGTAATAGTTAACTATACCATGTTAAATCTCTTAAGATAAACGATACTCAACTTCCAAGTAGATAATTAAAATTAACAATGTTTTCTTCTATCGTATTGTTTTTACCTCCGAACGCGTAATACTTCCTTTGGTAACGTCAATTAAGAAAAACAATGGAGCAAATAATCGAGGGTGAAATAAATTTACCCAAGTATCCGAACTTTACAAAACTCATGTATTTCTGCCAGATTTTCATTGTTAAATATATATGAGGAAAGTTTGAAAGGAGCCTGGAAAGGTATTAAGCAGAACATATTGGCCTCATTTTTATCTCTCAAGGATCTTTTTAAAAGGAGCACAAAAACTTTTCTGTTTTGAGTTATACAGTTTTACCTATACAGAAGGTAATAAATTTATGGCATGTCATAAATTCATCAAGCTCATAATAAATACTTGGAAAGATTCCGACCAGGTATAGAATAGTAGTTTTTTAGTAATCTCGGAAACTGAAAGCGAATATTACTAATTAAACCCATAACAACTTCATAATACAATTTCGGTTAACACATAAAACCCTCCAGATTGAAAATGGTTCAGCAAACAGAGAAGCTGTTAATTTTCTGACGACACGATAAAGTTTTCCAATGAAAACTTTTGAAAGCTGAACTGCGAGGCAAAAGAAGCTGTTTATGTATTCTTTATCATATACATCTTAATTACAAACGCAACTGGCAAATAAGCTTATAGTTTTTGAAAGAGGCGGTCGAACATTTGTAGTTTTGCACAATCCAGACAACTGGCTCCGATTATTATACTTGCACTTAAAGGAAAACGAAAAGTTATAAATTGAAAACGGTGTTTCTGACAGATCAATCGGCTTTTTACAAAAGAGCACTTACCAATAGCATTATTTTTAAACTGGAGTGGTTTCGCCGACGATTTTTCAGGTTCTTCTTCTCAGAAAATTCTCTCGGAAATTCAATAATGAGAAGATATGTTAGTGAGGGAATGTGCAGTAAAAGGGGGAGAATAATACAGTTCGTTCAATTTCCTGATGGGTTAAGTACATTGCATGTTATTCTAATGTTTAATATAATTTTTAACATCATTTGAGCAAAATTGGACGTAATTCCAGATATTATAAAGGTCTTTATTTGATATAAATTGCAAATATTCAAATGCGCTTCATGTAATTATATATGCAGAGCACAATGTAAATTTGCCAAATACATATTTTAGCATAAATACGGTCCGGGAAAGTTGCCGGGTCAAGAGATGTAAAGCGATCTACTAAATTATGCATCTGGCTAGATATGCAAGCAAAGTACGAATCCGCAAATACTTCTTCGCGTCTAAACCCGAAAGTGTCCGTATTGGAACCACGCATTCGAGAAGAATTCAAATATAGATATTAATATAAAATTTACCTTCTAAACATCAACGAAGCTGGAACTTGGGCGGTTTTCAAACTTTGGCAATTGTTTCGAAAGCTTTTATTCGTTAATGCATACATTTTCACTTGCAGTATTTGGTTGCAAAAATTGACTGTTTATACTCACAACTTATTAATTTAAATTTATTGCCACTAATATTTAGAAAATGCTTATTGGCCACTTGGCAGCAGTCAAAAATGAGAAAACCTTAAACAGTTTTGGCAAATTTGAATTTTTCAAACACTTGTATGAATATTTTCCGATAATATTTTTGCGTATTGTTGGATTGCCAGAAAAAGCGCGCCGTGGTCGGCTTCTTCCAAAGCGCGCGCCACATTGAAGCGGCGGCAACTGTTAATACCGAGAAATTTTCGCTGAGATGAGCGCTAGATTTTCGTGCGCTTGCTTTAAAGCATTTGCCAGATTTCCCTTCAATGTGATTTGTTGAAAAATAATGGTTTATATCTATTTGATTACACATAACAAAAAAACACGCAAAATGCAAAGTAACAGCTTCTAATGGAAATTTGAGAACTCGCCTCCTTCATCAGCCGGTAAAACTTGAGAAAACCATAATTCGAAATAAAAGCAAAAAATGTGAATTTCCTGGGTCGATTCCATCGGCTGTTATAAAAAGGAGGACCCCTTTGTACAAGGACAAAGGAGCTTCCGATGGGCTTTCAAAATACCTTTAAGATTTATTCAGCTCTATAAGAAACAAAAAAAAGTGGAAAAACATTACGCTACTTTACTCCAAATGGATTGGGATATTGAAAAGAACAACAGGTTTGAAAATAGCTTCGGCAAAAGACAGCCGTTGGAAATGATCAAATCAAAATCTTTAATAATATATTCTTCTCTAAATTAAGAAATTCTTAAAGAGATACACAAATAAAAAATCATTAGGAGCCCTTAATCTCAGAATAAAAAGTAGCTAAGGAGATAATATTTAGAAAACTATGTTTTAATGGATGTACAATAAGTTTTGATGTCAATAGTGAATGAACAATTGAGCCAGCAAAGGTCATACAGAAAATATTCGAAACGATAGGGTCTGGAGTTGTATTAATGTATATTGCATGTTTATTTTAAAATACCTTATTTCCGAATCAACAGCAAATTCTCATTCTAAGTGGAATTTCGATTAACTTTTTTCATTTTCGAATTATCCGCCCTAAAAACCTAAATCGGAATAATGCTTTAAAACCTAACAAGTATTTCTAAACTTATGCCCCAACATTTACCAAGGAGAGCCGAAGAAAATTGATTTATGCTGTCTCCATTTCCTCACAAACCAAAGATAGAAAATACGTTTTCGGTTCCACTGGGGAAAAGTTGCGTAGCCCAAAATTGACAAGGCAAAAGACGAATGACTTTTGAATAATGGTAAATTTTGATTTAGGGCGGCATTGTCGGTTAGAATTGGCGAGTCGTTTACTCACGTGCCGTTCTCTTAAACAACCCAAGATACACGCAATATCGTCTCAATATTGAACATGGGTGAAGTAATTGTTTGCAAACAAATGTAAAAATATATTTCCATTGAACATAAAGCAAGTGTATATTTGTGGATTTGACAAAAAGAGTATTATTAGATGATTTACGTAGACCGCGCATTAACAGATTTCTATCTTGCAGTTGTTTTAGAAACTTCTTTTGTTTCTGTTTAATTTTGTTTCGCATTGTTGAATCATGGCAAAATTTTTAAGCTGAACCAAAACAGTTTGTTGGTGACATTTAAAAATCTGTAGTTTTTACATTGGAATCATGAAAAATGTGCATTGAAAAAAGCGGTTAATGAAAAAAGCGGTCAAAGATTAAATACTTATTATGGATAAGTTGCCCATTGAAGAGGAGCCAAATTTACGGGTGTTCTATATCGATCACTGAAGACTTCAAGTTAAAAACCAACAAAAGTCGCCAAACAACAATCGATATCGAAATTTGAAAGAAAATGTAGTATGAAATTAAATTGAAAAGCTAGAAAAACTGAGTAATAAATGTTGTTTTTGACCATGGAGCAAATAGAACCTATTGAGAATACAATACCTATTAAATTTAAAATGCAATTCACAGAAGAAAACACCAATAAATGCAACAAATTACCTTCCAAGAACATATAAAATGTAATTCACAAAACGACACTTGTTTTACATGTTGCCGTTGCGTTCTTATTAAAACAAGAAATTGAAATAACGCATCGAACCCAGATACTTTCTCGTCGATCCACGTCCCATAAATTTTACATGCACTAATTTCATAAAATACAAGTCTACAATATCCGAAAGCCATCTTCCAAGAAAAATGTAAAGCCAAACTTACCGAAAATTGCATCGTGTCACCTGGAAGGAAAAAAACGTTGTTTAGTGTATAGAAAATACTTCTAAGTTCCATTGAAATTGGAATGTAACAAGGCCGCGAAATATCTCTTCGCTCTCAAAAAAACCTCCACCAGTTCAAGCTGAGTGTTCTGAAAAATGCCTCATTTCTCCGGACAGCCTGTATATTAGAGATCTATCTTACGGGTTTATGCCTGCTGGAGCCCCATCCTCAACTATTTCCGTATCGGCTCTGATTCACTTGCGCCAAAAGTTCACTTTAGATAAACTCATCAACACACTCTTTCTTTTCAGCATATATAGACTACTGGCAAGACAAGCAAAGAAATGGACGATTTATTTCGTATGTATTACACAATTATGATTTATTAGACAATGTATTTCGTATTATTATTTATATTTATATAAAAAATTATGTGGCGCTTGACAATTTGCTTGGTAGTCCCTTAATCGTTTTACTCGTCTGAATGATTAACATTTTTTTTATTGAGAAAGTCTATGCAGCCGCAAATAAAAACCCGACAAATATAAACAGGAGAGCAATAGGCGTTTTATGATCAATAAAAACCGGATTTTTGGACAATCCTGCACTTTTCAGGCTTTTTTCGACTCGTGCGTTGCCTTGTCGGTTTTAGGGGAGAGTGTTGTAATTTTGTTTGAGTGTTTAAATACATTATTTTAACTCAAGTCATTTTGTTATCTTCTCTATTTAGAACGATATTTGCAAAAATATACAGGGTGCCATCCAATCCATCGAACCATGCTTCAGATATTTCAAAAAACATAAATTTTTAAGAACTTTCACAATGAATACCAGAGTGGTTAAACATTTTTCCTAAATTCAAGTTTGGCCAGATCGTCGTCTTTTGAACCAGAGAATGTCTCATAATACATAAAAACATACAAACTCGTTCTGTATAACTTTGCCAAACTGATTAGTCATTAATTTACAAACACAAATTACCTTACTCCAGTACTGAACCACTGAACGGTTTATCTATATTTCACAGGTTCAATCATTTAAATGGATTTTCCGGATATTTTATTTTAATTGGCCCTTAAGCACAGTTATTAATTTTAACTGGAACCATTATTCAACTTTCACTGCTTGTAAAAATGATCTCCGTAAGGATGAAAAAAGCTTTCAATTGTGATTCGGCCTACTGTGAGAAGGGTTAAATTAATTTCAACAATTACTTTTTCTGCTTTCGCTCTTAAGGAACGGTTTAATTTCAAAATTAATTATTGCAAATGGAGTTATATACAAAACTTTTTAATTTGCGGGAAAAGGTGACAGACTCTAATTTAAAAACGCCATTAACAAGCTTTATTGATATTAATTATAATAAGGAGTGAATGGTAAATTCGTTTCATAGGTTTTTACTTCAGTTGGAAAGTTCAATGTGTATAAAATTGGCTTAAATTTATTTCTTAGTCACATTTGGAATTTCAAAGCACGAAACGCTGTCTTTCTATTTTGGTTTTTACATTGCAGTTCATTCGGCGTCTTTATGGAGTAGCCAAACAGACTTCCAATACTTGTGTCTGTAAATTTTGTGGTCAGTATTCGCGAATGACCGTAATAAAACTATCTGCTTTTACTTGGTGCCAAGAGAATCGTAAGTTTAAGCCAGCCAAAGTGCCTTTAACGATTTTGGTTACCTCAGCAATTGACTCGGGTGGTTGTTATTTTTTTAAATATTTTATCATGCTGTTGTAACTATTTATTGTCTCCGGATGTGCATTTCAGTAGCAAATTATATGTACATTTATACATAACTGGCGTGTCTTGGCAGTAAAAAATACTACTAACGACATTCTTAACTAAATCTGTTCCAAATGGTTGTATATATTAATTGATCTATTTGTTTAATCGGGTCTAATTCGTTATTTATGTTTTCTTGATTGGCTACAAAACTGCTTTTTTTGTTTTTTAATAAAATAATGGCTATTTAAGAATATTAAGCAATCATCCCTACAACCACCTCTAGCTCATCAAACATTCTGCCCTTTGCGTTTACAGAGTCACGTTCAAGGGATAATTAAGGCTGGAACGGTGATAAAAGAGAAAACTTTGTACATCTTCTTTGCCCCGAAGCCAGAGCCAGCAGATAGCAATTGTTGTTTAAATTAGCAATTTAACTGTCTTTATATCATTAAGAAGCTTCGCTCACATAACTCGTGGTGTCAGATTAATTTAGATGTGTGTTGTTATCAGCCGTTTGCAAATATTTCTGCTCTTGGGCAATTTCAAGCTAACACCGTTTGCTAGTAGGCCTAAAATCAATGTTTTCTCGAAATGTTTATTAATGTTCTCTAACACGGAACACTACTCCGACACTCACAAATAAAACCAGCAACAATCCATCACTTTGACTGAGATGGGCCATAATATTTATAGGAAAATAAATGAAAATTGGTGCAATATATCTAAGTCGAATAAAACGTGTTTCCCTATTTTTGAAGCAAATGGAGCGTGCTTCGAAAAAGTTTCTACACAAGTAGAAATGTCATTCAAGTGGACAATCTGGCGTGGGTCTTCCTTGCGACATATTAGTTACAGAAAAGGTTTTCCGCATCGAAAAATGCCTATGCCTATAATAAAATGATTCTTGAAGTTCCAAAAACATCAATTTTAATATCAGCTCGTCCCAATATTGATGCAATCATCAAAATGCCTTTTTCGCAGATAAAATATATATTTTTTAATATTTTACTGACGTAAACGGTTTGAATGACGACGTGGAATTGTGAAATATCGTATATTTATTGTATTAGAAAGTATTTTCTAGACGAAAATAGAATAAATTGTTTTATAGTCGATCAAACCTTAAAATTCAAATTTAAAAGTATAAATGTTAAATCAAAGTAAAGCTAAGTTTTTGAATACTAATTAATTTATTGTCGAAACATTTAAATTAAATGATGCACACTAATTTTTAATTAAAAACGTAATTTAATTCGTAGGTACTTAGCTTTTATAGTTTTAA